TAAACATTATTTATTTATTTTAATTTAACCAGAGAGGGACAGAGTGAGAGAGAGTGAGAGAGAGAGAGAGAAAGAGGGAAAACGAACCGCCAGGCCTGGTACTCGAACTGTGGTTGGCCATGTGGGAGTCCAGCGCCTTTAACCACCATGCCACCTGCCAGCCCCAATCTGCTGTCTTCTTAAGAGCAGAGCTATGTTTTCTCTCTTATTATTGTTTTTTTTAAATTGCCAGAGGGTGCATTTGCTTGCCTGACGGAGAGAGAAAGTATCCCCCAATAAGGAATGGTCAACTATGTGGGAGCCGGTTCTCTTAACCACTAGGCTACAGGGCAGGCCAGGATTACGTTTTTAATTTCTGTACCTATAGCACCTAGTAGGGCTCCTGGCCAAAAGAAGTGACAATAAATCTCTACAGAAGACTGAATGAGAAGGAATATCTAACTTACCTAGGAGAAAGGGCAGGAAGCATTTTAGTAGAGGAAGTGATACATGACTTGAATTTGGCCTGTGTGTAGAAATAAGCTAGGGAAGTTAGAGGAGGAAGTGTGCTCCAATGAAAGGAAACATGAGCGATAGTATGGCAGGATGAGAAACCCAGTCCCCTTTAGGTGCTGGAAATTCAAACTGAACCAGCGTCTTAAAACAAACAAACAAACAAACAAACAAAAAAACCCAAAAAACTGAACCAGCGTCTTTAGAAGAGAAGGCAGACATAAAGTTGAAAAAGGCCAGAACAGTAGAGCTGTGGATGCTGTGTTGATGAATTGAAAATAAATACAAAAAGCAGTGGGGAAGGGAGCTGGGGAATGCAGCACCCGACTTCCCTCCCCTCCTGCCTTCTAGTTTGCCACCAACGCCTCCCACCGGGAACCCCAAGCAGAAGCAGAAGCCAAAGCTGTCCCTCAATGCAGCCCACACAGGCAGCACCCTGGGCACAGGCAGGGTGGATGGAGGTGAACAGAGAATGTGTGACACCAGAAACTAAGAGAACTGCTCTGCAGGACCAGGGTCAGAATTCGTGTTTTGTACCCATTAATTTTGAGAGACCTATGAAACTCGAATAGTCATCTCAGCAGTGATGAGTCTGCAACTCAGAAGAGAGAATTTTTTTTAGAGAGATTCAAATTTGGACACCGTCATATAGTTTTGTTTTGTTTTGTTTTTAACAACAGGAGAGAGGGGATAACGTAGATAATTTAAGAGAGAAAAAAGAGCAGGAGTAAGAACCAGAAAGAAGACTGCTCTGAGAGTCCAGATGAGTAGGAGAAAACCTGGAAGAATGTGATGTCAAGAAACCCAAGGATGGAAGCCAGCTGGAGAGAAAGTCGTAGGCAAACATGTTGAATGCAGCTGAGAGGGCAGTGAGATGAACAGAGAAATGTGTCCATTACAGTCAGAGAGTATAAGATACAATTAAAATCATTAACTCCTTAAAAAGAAAATAAAAAGCAGTGGGGAACAACTCAAGGATTTTATGAGAGAAACTTGGGTGGGGGTGCAAGTGGAATTAAGGAGACCAAGTCTAGAGGCTGGCAGGTGGCACGGTGGTTAAGGAGACCAAGTCTAAATCCGTACATTGCCACCTATTTGGAGGATTCTCCTTTCTTAAAATTTCAGTTTATTGGAGCCAGCAGGTGGCATGGTAGTTATGGTCGCTGGACTCCAACATGGCCGACCACGGTTCAAGTCCTGGACCTGGAGGCTTATTTTCTCACTTTCCCTCTCTCTCTCTCACTCTGGCCCTCTCTGCTCAAATGAAATAAATAAAGTTAAATAAAATCATTTTTTTAAAAAATTCAGTTTATTTTTATTTTTAAAAATAGGCCAGAAAGGGGACCAGCAGTTAGCGTAATGGCTATGTCGCTGGACTTCCATGTAGTCGACCGTGGTTCAAGTCCCGGACCTGGTGGCTTAAAACTCACGTCGGGTGCGTGTGCGTGCATGCCCAAGATCCCGAGAGGAGAATGGAGGAGAAGGGATTGCAGCGTGGCTATCCCCCCTGGGGGATGATTTCTCGCTTTCTATCTCTATGTCTCTTTCTGTCTGGCGAGCGCACGCGCCCTGTAGCAAAAACCTCTCCAAAAAAATAGACCAGAAAGGTGGCCAGCAGATGGCATAGTGGTTACATTGTTGGACTCCCACATGGCCAATTCAGACCTGACTGCTTGAGGAGAAGGGATTGCAGCGTGGCTATCCCCCCTGGGGGATGATTTCTCGCTTTCTATCTCTATGTCTCTTTCTGTCTGGCGAGCGCACGCGCCCTGTAGCAAAAACCTCTCCAAAAAAATAGACCAGAAAGGTGGCCAGCAGATGGCATAGTGGTTACATTGTTGGACTCCCACATGGCCAATTCAGACCTGACTGCTTGAAATTCACACCAGGTACAAGTGCATGCATGCCGAAGATCCTGGGAGGAGAATAGAGGAGAAGTGATTGTGATGTGGCCATACCCCCAGGGGGTGATTTCTCACTTTCCCTCTCATTGTTTCTGTGTGCTTTCCCTGGAGAGTAATTGTGCCTGAGGCAAAAACTTCTGAAAAATAAAACAAAACCCAAAAAGGTCAGAAAGTCATGTGATTCAAAATTCAAAATGTGCAAAAAGATATCTTGTGAAAAATCTTTCCTCCTACACCTAATTTACAGACTGTGGTCACCAGCTCTGTCCCTAGCTACACCTCTCTGGGGGAAACCAAAGTTAACATATTCTCCATGTACTGCTATGGGCGTACATACCAGTTGCAACCCACTGCTCTTGAGACTTGTTTTTGTTTACTTTCTTCCAGTTAGTAAATCTTGGGGACTGTTCCATATCAGTCCTTAAAGAGCTTCAGTCTTTTTCATTGTATTTCGAATAGTATTAGAATTTCATTGTATGTCCATTTCAGAGGTGATTTACATATTGCATGTGTACAAGTACATCTGTGCCACTAATATTAAAAATAACTACTTATTTGATTTTGTTTGTTATTCTTTTTAATTTGACCAAAGAGAGAAAGAGAGAAGGAAAGTGAGAAAGCAAGCCACAAAGTAGGTCTGGGACTTGAGTCACAGTCAGCCACGTGGGAGTCCAGTGTCTTAACCACCACACCATCCGTTGGCCACCTTCTTCTTCTTTTTAATTATTCCAGAGGGCATGTGCAGTAACTGGGAGGAGAGAGAGAGAAAGAGAAAGAGAGAATGAGAATGCACACCCCTCCCCCCATAGGGGATGGTCATGTCACAATCCCTTCTCCATTTCTCCCACCTGTCAAGATTTGGGGCACACACACACACTTCAGGCATGTTTTTCAAGCTGTCAAGTCTGGAACTCGAACCATACAGTGGGTCATGTGGGAGCCAACTGACTTAACCACCATGCAAGTGGTTGGTCAGGGACTAACTTCTTTTTTATTTTTATTTTTTTTGGGGGGGAGATTTTTGCTATAGGGCGCGTGCGCTCTCCAGAAAGCCAGAGAGAGACAGAGAGACAGAAAGCGAGAAATCATCCCCCAGTGGGATGGCCACGCCACAATCCCTTCTCCTCTATTCTCCTCCTGGGATCTTGGGCATGCACACACACGCACCCGGCGTGAGTTTAAGTCACCAGGTCCAGGACTCAAACTGCGGTCAACTACATGGGAGTCCAGCAACATAGCCATTATGCCAACTGCTGGTCCCATCCCAGGGACTAACTTTTAGCAGGTAGAATGTGATAGAAATGATTGTGTGACTTCTATCAAGAAGCACAACAAAAGACATTCCATTTTCATCTTGCTCTCTCTCTAGTTGCCTATTCCTGGGGAAACCAGCTGCCATATCATGGGGACAGTCAAGCAGCCTTCGGAGAGGCAGCACAGGAGGAACTAAGGCTCTCTGCCAATAACCAGCACCAACATGCCTGCCATGCGAGTGAGCCATCTGGAAAACAGATCCACCAGCTTCAGTCAAGCCTGCAGGTAACATCAGCCCTCCAGCCTTCTAGTCTTCCAGCTGAGGCCCCAGACATTGTGGAGTGAAGCCAAGTCAATCCTTTCCCGAATTTTTGACCCACAGAAACTGAGAGAGGATAAATGATCATTGTTCTTTTAAGTCACTATGCTTTCAGGTAATTTGTTATGCAGCGAAAGATAACTCATACAATGGTGGCAGGTGTGCACAGACTGCTAGTGGAACAGAAAGAATGGGTACTTAGCTTACTATGGGAGGCTACAAGGCTTTCTGAAGGAAAGAAAGTTTGTCCTGGGTTTTGAAGAATGCATACAAATTGTCCAGAAAGATTGGAAAGAAAGATATTTCAAGCCTACAAAACAGCACGGAAAGAGGTAGGGAGGCTTAAAATAGCATGCAGTATGAGGATGAACTATATATTGAATATATAAGGGTATTTCAAACAGTTTATAGAAAAGTGGGATTAAAGTATGAGCTTAGATTGGTGCAGAAAACTTTGAAATATATGCATAGTCTTTTTATAATGCACATTTTTTGCATGAATTTTGTAAAAGACCCCTTATATAATTTACCTTTGTCAAATAGAATCCATAGTGGATTGACTTTATACCCAGTACTGCTCTAGGATAACTGTAATTGGTACACATTTCCTGTTGGCAAATATACTTAGCATATGATGGGGTATCTGAATTTTTTTTTAAAGGTTTTTGCCATAGGGCACATGCTGGAGAGAGAGAGACAGAGAAAGGAAGTGAGAAATCACCCCCTAAGGGAATGGCCGCACTTCAATTCCTTCCTCTTCCATTCACCTCTTGGGATTTGGGGTACGTATCCCCATTCACCCAGTGTGATTTTTCAAGCCACTGGGCCTGGGACTTGAACTGTAGTTGGCCATGTGGGAATCCAATGCCTTAAACACCACACTACCTGCTGGCCCTTAGGGTGTCTGAATTTTTTTTTAAAAAGAGAGCTTTTTTGCTATAAGGTACATGCACTCGCTGCAAAGACAGACAGATAGAGAGAAAGGAAACAAGAAATCACCCCCCAGGGTGATGGCCACACCACAATCTCTTCTCCTCCGTTCTCCTTTCAGGATTTTGGGCATGCATTCACACATGCACACATGCCCAGTGTGAGTTTAAGTCACCGGGTCAGGGACTTGAACCACAGATGACTACATGGGAGTCCAGCAACATAACCATTACCCCACCTACTGGTCCCTTCAATTTTTTTAAAGAGATTTTTGCTATAGGGGGTGTACACTTGCCAGAGAGACAGAAAGTGAGAAATCACCCCCCAGAGGAGATGACTACGCCGCAATTCCTTCTCTATTCTCTTGGAATTCTGGGGGGAAAAAAAAGTTAAGATGGGGAACCAGCAGTTAGCGTAATGTCTATGTCACTGGACTCCCACGTAGTCGACCCCGGTTCGCGTCCTGGACCCGGTGGCTTAGAACTCACACCGGGCGCATGTGCGTGCGTGCCCAAGATCTCAAGAGGAGAATGGAGGAGAAGGGATTGCGGCATTGCCATCCCCCCTGGGAGGTGATTTCTCACTTTCTGTCTCTCTCTCTCTGGCTGGCTGGCGAGCACACGCGCCCTATAGCGAAAAAACCTCTCAAAAAGAAAAAAGTTAAGGTGACAAATTTGATGTTGTGTGTATTTAACCAAAACTTTATGAAAGAAACAGATTCTCAGCTCTCTTCTCTACACTGAACAAGGTGATAATCCCTCTCTCAATCCAGACTAAATATGTGGTGCTGACTGACACGATTTGAATGTGCCCCTCAAAAGTTCACAGGCTGGAAATTTGTTGTATTGTGACAGTATTAAGAGGAAATTTAATCCAGCTGTGGTACTGAAAATTGGGCCCTTTGGGAATGTAAGCATCAGGATTGGGGCCCCCATGATTGGGTTCTGCTGGGTTTACAAGGAGAAGGAAATAAAACAGACATATGGACACAGACATACTTGCTTTTGCCCTCCCCGTGTTACTCACAAGCATGAAGACCATTATTAGATGTGACCCCTCGATCTTAGACTTTCGAAACTGTGAGTTAAAGAAATTCATTCTCAAGACCAGCAGATGGCATCATAGTTATGTCGTTGGGCTCCCATGTAGTGGACCGCAGTTCAAGTCCTGGACCCGGTGGCTTAAACCTCACATCAGGCACGTTTGTGTGCATGCCCAAAATCCCTAGAGCAGAATGGAGAAGAAGGGATTGCAGTATGACCATCGTCCTGGGGGTGATTTCTCACTTTCTGTCTCTCTCTGTCTCTATGGTGAGAGCACCTGCCCTATAGCAAAAATCTCTCTAAAAAAAATTAAATAATAAAAATAAATAAATAAACATCTCTTCTCTTAAAAACACCCAGATATTCATTATTAGCAACAAGACAAACTGGAACACTGACTTTGCGAAGAGGTTAACAAGAACTGTGGGCCAGAGAACATGATGTAACTTAGGGCATGGGTTTAATGGTACAAGCGAAACCTTCAGCCAGCCCACTTCTATTCATCCAACTTTCTAAGTGTTGGAAGCCAGGATTACTACCTCTTCTTCTGCCCACTTTCCATTGGTGATTGGTAAAATTCTCTCTGGAGTAAATAGCCTAAAAAATAGACTTTTTGGTGTTGATACACAAAGAGGTAGCTGAAGGTCCCACCAGCCTTTGGTGTGAAATATAGAAATAAATAAAATAAAATAAACAAGGAGAAAAAAATGACCTTGGAGGAAGCAGGAACAGAAGTAGAAGAAAATCTTAAAAATTCATATTGTTGGTAGTTGGATCGATAAAAATAAATATTTTATCCTTAAGGTAAGTACAAAAGGCCATAATAAGGAACGTTCAGGGTCAGCAGGTGACATGAAGATTAAGGTGGCTGGATCTCACATGGCCAAGTGAGCAGTTTGAATCCTGAAGCCCGTGGTTTGAAAATCATGCCTGGCACGTGTGCGTGTATACTCAAGAGGAGAATGGAGAAGGGATTGCAGCATGGCCATCTCCCCTGGGGGGTGATTTTTTACTTTTCCTCTTTCTCTGTCTTTCTCCAGTGAGTGGACGTGCCCTATAGCAAACTTGGGAAAAAAAAAAAGAAGAACATCATTCAGAGAACATAAAAGAAGGCTCTTGAAAATTAAAAATATGGTATTTAAAATGAAAAATTCAGAAGAAGAGTTGGCAAATAAAAGTGAGAAAAAATAAAAAAAGAAAGAAAGAAACCTCCTGGATAGCAAAACAAATGACAAAGATATAAAAGGTAGGCAAAAAAAAAAAAAGGTAGGCAAGAAAATAATAACAAAACTTGCGTATCATTTCAGGAGACTGATACATTAAAAACACCTAGAAATATGGGGCCGACAGGTGGTTTCATGGTTAAGGGTGATAGATTCCCACATGGCCAACAGCGGTTTGAGTCCCAGACCTGGTGACTTGCTTTCTCTCTCTCTCTCCCTCGTCCCTCTCTGGTCAAATTGAAATAAATAAATGAATGAATAAAGTTAAATAAATTTTAAAAATAAAAAAAACACCTAGAAGTTTAACAAAGAGAAAACTAGAAGGAAAGAAAGAGCTCTAGAAAAATTGCCAAAATTGAAAATTAAAAAAAAAATTTTAGAGAGATTTTTGCTAAAGGGCACATGCCAAAGTTGGAGAGAGAGAGAGAGAGAGAGAGAGAGAGAGAGAATCAGTCCCTAGGGTGAGAAAGGAAGAAAGAAAAATAAAGGAGAGGAGGGAGACTTTCTAGGACTTTTCACTCACCCAGCCCCAACCTCAAAACGGAAGGGAAAGTGTTCTTCATTTCAAATTAAAATTTTCTTCATTTCATTTTCAAATTTTCATATCTCTAAGGAGATCAACCGTGACAATTTTATGACTCAAATGGAAGGATATATTTTAAGTTACTAGAAGAGCAAAAGCTTTAGATCTGAATGGGCAGTGTAATAAATGGTGCATATACTTAAAATTTTCCTTCTCGTTATAATTTTTCCCCGTTTCCCCTCATTACTCTGAAATTTCTGGAATGTGTACATGTCACCGTCCCACCCATTCCTGGGCTTTAGGGCAAGAACATCAAACACAATCAGCATAAGGTCACCATTTAGTCAGTGGAAAATTTTTAAAATGATGGTGACAGTGTCTGGTGTTTCCAGCCTCTGGTTTCTGATTCCCAACTATTTTGGGTGGCAAAAGATTGGGCCAGTGAGTGGCCTGCATAAGTCTCAGTCAACATGCTCTTTGCCCCATCTAGGGGTGGTTTGAAGGCAGAAGAGGAACAACGAAGGTTTGGAGTGGACCGCCACACTTCAGGTGCATGCATGAGGACACCTGGGTTTGAACAGCAAGGGCTGAGAGGCACTAACTCCTGGTACCTGTAAACTGCAGACAGCACCTTGAGGAAGCAACAAAGCACATGAAGGGATTTCCATGTTCTCCTGGGCAACTGGCTCTGTCTATTCCACAAGCCAGGGTGATGGGAATGAAAGAATAAAAGAAAACATACGAACATACCAGGTGCATGTGTGTGTGTGTACCCAAAATCCTGAAGGGATGGAGAAAAAGAGAAAAAAGGATTGTGGTATGACTACAGTCCACTGGGGGATTCTCTCTCTCCCTCTATCTGGCATGTGCACACACCCTCTCGCAATTAAAAAAAAAAAAAAAGGCATGTGCAGGATGGTCTCACGTTTGTTAAAAAGGAAAAAAAAATATATATATAGATAGGTAGATAGATAGGTAGGTAGATAGATAGATAGGTAGATAGATAGATAAAATGCCTATAAAAAGTTCTGGGGTCAGCCAGTGTTGTGGTGGTTGAGGTGGCTAGATTCACCATGGCCATTTCCTCGTTTGAGTCCCAGGCCCAGTGCCTCAAAAAACACACCAGGCACATGTGTATGTATGGCCAAAAAAATCCTGAGGAGAATGGAGAAGGATTTGCAGCATAGCCATCCCTCCTAGGGGATTATTCCTCACACTCTCTCTGGAGAGCACACTTGCCTGATAGTAAAACTGAAAAAAAAAAAAAAGAAAAAGTTCTGTAATATGTACTAAGTTGTTCAATGGTAACCTCTGAGTGGTGGAAATACAGTGTTTTATTTTTGGTTTTTAATATTTGGTAACTTTCCACAATACATAGACTATATATTGCTTTTGTAAAAATAAAAGGTTATTTTAATGAAAGAGCAAGTGTGTGTATGCTAGGAGGGACTTCCTAGACTATCTGCTACCAAACCTTTTTTTTTTTTCAAAGGAGGAACAATTTTGACTCATTACATTGACTTAAAACAATTTTTTTTAAAAACCACTTTTGTGGAAAATTTTGAACAGACTCATATACAAACAAAACAATATAATGAACACCTAAGTACCCATCATCCAACCTCAATTATCAACTCATGGCCATTCTGACTTCACTTTTTCTCCACTACGCACTTTCTGCTTGTTTTATTTTTTTTAATTAATTTTTTTTTTTTTGGAGAGGTTTTTGCTATAGGGTGCGTGCGCTCACCAGACAGACAGAGACAGACATAGAGACAGAAAGCCATAAATCACCCCCTGGGGGATGGTCACGCCGCAGTCCCTTCTCCTCCATTCTCCTCTCGGGATCTTGGGCACGCACGCACACGCGCCCAGCATGAGTTTTAAGCCACCGGGTCCGGGACGCGAACCGCGGTCGACTACGTGGGAGTCCAGCGACATAGCCATTACGCTAACTGCTGGTTCCCTCTGCTTGTTTTATTTTGAAGTAGATCCCAGTTCTCATAATTTCTTCCATTAATATTTAAGTATTATCTCTTTAAGGACTCTTAAAAATATATAACCACAATATATTATCATGTCTAAAAATTAATAATAATGCCTCAATATCATCAAATATCCAGTGAGTGGTCATATTCCCAATTGTCTCATAAATGAAATAAATGAGCTTTTTTTAAAAAGAGGTTTTCACTTTAGGACATGTGTGCTTGCCAGAGAGAGAGAGAGACAGACATGGTGAGAGGGAAAGTGAGAAATCACCCCCAAGGGAGGATGACCATGCCACAATCCCTTCTCCTCCATTCTCATCCATTCTCCTCCCTTCTCCTCCTGGGACCTTGGGCACACACGCACATGTGCCCAGTGTGATTTTCAAGCCTCTTTGGAGACACAGAGAGACAGAAAGCAAGAAATCACCTCCTGGGGAGATGGTCACACTGCAATCCCTTCTCTGCCATTCTTCTCTCAGGATCTTGAGCATGCATGCATATGCGCCTGGCATGAGTTTTAAGCTGTCAGGTCTGGGACTCGAATCACACTTGACTACATGGGAGTCCAGCAACGCAACCATTACGCAATCCGCTGGTCTCAATAAATGAGCTTTTTTAAAAGAGTTAACTTGATAATGGCTATGTCGCTGAACTCCCACATAGCCGACCGTGGTTCGAGTCCCGGTCACTGTGGCTTAAACTCACGCCAGGCACGTGTGCATGCGTGCCCAAGATCCTGAGAGGAGAATGGAGGAGAAGGGATTGTGGTGTGGCCATCCTCCCTGGGGGGTGATTTCTTGCTTTCTATCTCTCTGTCTCTTTCTTTCTGGAGAGTACACGTGCCCTATAGCAAAAACCTCTCCAAAAATAAATAAATAAATAAAAAGTTACTTTGAGTCAGAATCCAAGTAAGGTCCACAGATCACAATCGCTGCTATGATTTTTGTTTGTTTGTTTTGTTTTGTTGTTTTAGAGAGATTTTTGCTATAGGGCATGCGTGCTTACCAGAGACACAGAAAGAGACAAAAAGAGAAAAAGTGAGAAATCATCCCCTAGGGGGGATGGCCACACCACAATCTCTCCTACATTCTCCTCTCAGGATTTTGGGTACGCATGCACACATGCCTGGCATGAGTTTCAAGCTGCCCAGTAAAGGACTCAAACTGCGGCTGGCCATATGGGAGTCCCGTACCTTAACCACCATACCACCTGCTGGCCTCTACTTTTTTGTTTTTGCTTATTTGTTTATTTAGTTTCTTTTCTTTTCTTTCTTTCTTTTTTTTTGGAGAGGTTTTTGCTATAGGGCGCATGCACTCGCCAGACAAACAGAGAGAGACAGAGAGATAGAAAGCAAGAAATCACCCCCCAGGGGGGATGGCCATGCCGCAATTCCTTCTCCTCCATTCTCCTCTCAGGATCTTGGGCACGCACGCACATGCCGGCGTGAGTTTAAGCCACTGGGGCTGGGATGCGAACCGCGGTTGACTACGTGGGAGTCCAGCAACATAGCCATTACACCAACTGCTGGTCCCTATTTAGTTTATTTTAATATACAGGTTCCACTTCTCTTTATTTTCCCTGGCAAGGGAAATTTGTCGAAGAACCCAGGCTGTTCAACTGAGGCATTTCCCATGGTCTTAATTTTTCTGGTTTCAAGTCATGGTAGTGTTTAATGAGTTCCTTTCTCCTTTGCATTCCCTAGTTGCATCTGGAGGCTCGGTCATATTATTGGATTTGGTTTCTTGAGGCATGAACACTTCATAGGAGGTGGAATGTCCTTCTATCAAGAGACATATGCCATCTAATTATCTCTTATAATGTCATATGTTTTTTGGTTTTTTTTTTTGA